TTTCCAATGCCTTGCATTTTCACGTTGAGCTGGTTCAGATGTTCAGTCAGATCTACGAGATAGTAAAACTTGAGGAGCCACTCGGTGTCGGCTAGCTCAGGATGCCCGACGCCTTTCATTTCAAGGAAAGTCCGGATTTCGTTCAGGCAAGCCGCAAAACGGCTAAGCACCTTCCCTCTTGACAACCAACGCACATTGCTGTGCAAAAGCAGACCAGGATAGTTATTTACAACTTCATCCAGCAGTGTTTTAAACTGGCGATCATTTAAGGCTCGGGCAACAATAAAGTTGATCACACGAATGACCAGCGACATCACTTCGCCAAACTGCCTGTCACACATCTGAGCACAAAGTGCCTCCTGGTGTATAATGCAATGGAAACTTAGGATGGGTCTATTTTCATGTTCACGGAGAAGCGCCACAAATCCTTTGTTTTTCCCCACCATACACGGAGCACCATCAGTACACACTGAGAGAAGTTTATCCATAGGTAGACTTTTTTCTTGAGCAAACTCCATGAAAGACTTGAATAAATCCTCACCTCTTGTGGACCCTTTTAATGGCAGAACAGCAAGACTTTCTTCGCGCAGTGTGTCACCAACAGCATATCTTGCAATCACGCTGAACTGCGACAAATGGCTCACGTCTGTTGACTCATCCAAAGCCAGAGAAAAGAACGGCGCTGCATTTATGTCCTTCACTTGCGTTTCCTCCACTTTGTTTGCCATCACGATGGTACGATCATGAACAGTTCTTGCCGACAGAGGCATGTCTTGTATCCGTTTGATTATCTTGTCTTTGTTCGGAAGATCATCAAAAAGTTCATTGGCTACATCCAGCATGAACGTTTTAGCATACTCGCCATCTGTGAATGGTTTTCCGTTCCTCACTATTGCTAAAGAACCAGCAAAGCTAGCCGAATTATAGTCACCTTGCCGGGTCCATACGCGGAGTTGCTGCTGGCTAGCTTGCACCCTGCTCAGAAGCTCTTGGCACGCTTTCTTTCTGCTGTCTCCCGCAGGGTATTTTGATGCAAAGGTAGCGTGGCGCGTGTCGAAGTGCCGCTTTACATTCGACCGTTTCAACGATGTAATTTTGTCATTGCAAATTAGACACACCGCAGAACCCGCTCTCTCCACAAAGGCGAATTCTTCGGTCCATTCATCCTGAAATGTACGATACTCGTCGTCTTTTTTTCTTTTCGCCATCTTCTTCGTCGAAGGGTTAGCTTTGAGCTAATGACCGAGCAGACGCAGTCTCAGACTGATTCAAAAGGGGGTGTTTACCTGTTTTACCCATCAACGGCAAACGTAGGCCAGTAATGGACAATTGCTCCTGCAGCCCTGAACAGGACATGCGCAGTGAAAAATCGATGGATGGATTAAAACAAGTGAGAATATTTTGTTTTATCTGCGAGCCATATGCAATCATCAAAAGAGCCACATCTGGCTCGCGAGCCATAGGTTCCCGACCCCTGCCCTATCCTGTAGGGGTCGGCACTGCACGCAGAGCGTGGTGCCATCCAGCACTGTCAATCAGCGCTCACCGAGCCCCTCTAGGGCCGGCACTGCACCCACATTCTCGTGGTGGCCGCGATGTCGCTACACCGCACGCCGTGCCTCTCTAGGGCCGGCATACACAGTGACATCTCGCGATGTCACTACCCTAAAGTAAAACTATCAATATTTCTAAAACTTTAATTCATTTTTAACCAGGTAAGGCCCACTAAGCTATGTAGCTCCTTATCAGAAGCGACCTGGCCACAAAATGATAGCCCAACGAAGTTGCTCATCATCTTGTGGCAATGTATAGCAGCCAAATACTCTAAACGCATGATGTTGATTCTAAATGTGGAAGGAAAAACCGGAGGACCCGCAGAAAAATCCACGCGACCACGGGGGTTGGGATCGAACCCACGACCTCCTGTAGACCTGGCGAGGTTGTTAACATCTCGCCACCGCAGCACGGGCCATCGAGGGGATGAGCAGTGCTCCGTTCATAAGCGTCGCAGCAGAGGGGACGGGATGTGTGAGGGCTTCCGTCCCCCGCCATCACCGAATTGTCGGGGCCGTTGCCCCCGACTCCTCCGTTCCATTCATACCGCTACCCCCCGGTTGTTCTGTGGGGTTCGGGTTAGCGACCTCCACCTCCACGCCCCCTTGCGCCCCCGACTTTGCGGCTGCCCGCGTAGGCATGTTTCAATTGGTGGCTTGTACGCTTTGCGCTTGCGGCGCGCTACGCGGGATAGGCGGCGTGCTGCGGTGAGCATGCTCGCAAAGTAAAACCCCGTCCCGCACGTGAACAAACAGGTGCGTGATTCCCTCACACACACGCTCTACGCGCTCAGGCAATAACTACCACGACGCTACTACCTGCCGAGCCCCGTGCCCCAATCACATGCGAGGGAGTGGGGAGTCGGGGGTGGGAGGCCAGGGGCGTCTGCCGTGCACGCGCTGCTGATTGGAGGGAGTCGCTCCGCTCCGATTTAAAGGGCCGTTTAAACAGCCGCGCGAATACGCGCATGCCAGGCGCTTAGCTCGCTACCTCGCTATAGGCAATCGCGCAGACACGCGACCGCAACACAGTCACACAGGCACGCGAGCGCTAAGCACTACTGTAAGCAATCGCACAGGTACGCGAGCGCTGGACACCACCGAAAACAGTCGCGTAGGCACGCGCACGCTGAACACTCCGCCTCGGGGTAAACCACCGCGCGCGCACGCGAACACCAAGCACGCTCTACCCTCCTCTTCACACTCACAAAGACCATACAACACAGTTTATCCCCCTACTAGTTATTTTATTTACCGCGAGTAACCCGTTAAACTACGTGTGATTGTGTGAGTCAGCAGCCCCCCCTAGCCTATCCTTCGGGAATCCTAGGCTCAATTCACCCTGCCTATCGCTCCGCTTTCTACCCTCGATTAAATAGCCCAAACTTACCTCTCTCTCTTACTCATGCTTACTTCCACTCTGCTGCGCTGGAAGCTGTAGAAGGGCGATACGTAGAGGGTTGAGCCTGGCTGCGCTGAAGCTCGTCACACGGACGACTCGAACGGCTGACTCCAATGCTCCGTGGACCGCGATGATTTTTGAAGAACTCTGGCCCTGCTACCCTAAGCCTCCGCGCTTTTATCCACCCTAAAGGCATTCCGTTGCTCTCGCGCTTGCCCACCCGTGCTCTTTCATATTCGGATCCGTGACCTTACCTAGAACAAAAGGCGTTCAGATGCTTCCGCACCCGTGCCTGCCCTGCCCATTCAGAGGCCGAGTTATTCTTGTCTCTTTCACATTCGGATCCGTAATCTTACCTGTAACAAAGCGTTCCACTGTTCCCACACCCCGTGCTGCCTTGTCCATTCAGATTTCGGAATGCGCTTGTCCCGTTGTTATTGGGGTCTCTAATTCTACCTATAACAAAGGCGTATCGCTGTTCCCACGCCCCGTGCCGTGTGTGTGTGATTTCATCCGCGGTGGCTTTACTGCCCCTGCCGTAACCAGGTCATTATAATATCGGGTCACGGCGCCGCGGTGCGGGCCAGCCTCGGTGGTAGGACACCCAATTTCCTGGCCGCAGGAAACCATGAAGCTTGATCCCATTAGGGGCTTCTGGATAAAAACCCGCCGACCAGTTGACCTTCCCTCCCGGCTCTACGTGGGGTGTGTGTGCATTCGTGCGGGGGGGGGGGGGGGGGGGGGGGGAGGCGGCGAGGGTGCGCCGCGTCGGCGTTGTCACCCCCCGGTGGTGGTGTCACGGCGGTGGGTACGGCCCCCGACGGAGCTGCTCCGCTGCGGCGGCACCACACATGCAGCACTGGCTGGCTGCAGCGGCTCGCCTGTGTTAAACCCATTCGACGCTTTCTGTGAGGAGGACGCAACCCAGGACTTGAGTGGCTACATGTCGAGTCGTCCTGCGCCATCCTAGCAGCAGCTGTGTGCCGAGGACGAACCTTCCCGCACTCGTGACTTTCTTGTCGAGTTCCCGGAGCGCGACCGATGAACGCGGCGCGTGGAGGAGACGGGCGGCCGAGGGTGTCGTGGAGGAGCGAGAGGAACGGAGCTCGTGCCAACTCCGAGCCGTCCGCTGTCATCGCGACTCTCGGCTGCGATGGCTAAACTCATCCACAGCCTCCTAAAAGGCTACAAAACAAAAACCATTGCAAGCCCCTCGGGTTGAGTGCGAGTCCAATTCCAGCAGTGAGAGTCCCTGGGGTGTGGCCACGCAGTGCGCCCCCCCCCCCACGCAAAGGGTGACGTGGCGCGTGGCACCGCACCGCAGCATCGACTCACAGTCAGACACCCATGGGTTGAAATCCCGGTCGTGGATTCAGCCTGGCCCAACCTTCCTCGAGGGTGTTAAAATAGGTACCACTTTGTGGAGTTTATCTGTTTGTTTACTTGTTTGTGTACTTGTTTATTTGTTTGTTTACTTGTTTAATTGTTTAATTGTTTGTTTAATTGCTTGTTTACTTGTTTGTTTACTTGTTTGTTTACTTGTTTATTTGCTTACGTGTTTATGTGTTTACTTGTTTGTTTACTTGTTTAATTGTTTGTTTACTTGTTTGTTTACTGTTTAATTGTTTGTTTACTTGTTTGTGTACTTGCTTGTTTACTTGGTTTTTTATTTGCTTGTTTACTTGTTTGTTTACTTGTTTAATTGTTTGCTTGTCTGTTTACTTGTTTAATTGTTTACTTGTTTGTTTACGTGTTTAATTGTTTACTTGCTTATTTACTTGTTTGTTTGTTTATTTGCTTGTTTAATTGTCTGTGTACTTGCTTGTTTACTTGTTTGTTTACTTGTGTGCTTAGTGCATGCGTTCGCGCCGAGCCAGGCGGTAGCTTCATCGTTTGCTAGACGCCGCTCGGCCGGCTGAGCGGACGCAGACTGTTTTGTTTTTGTTGACGATTCTCGCCATCCTCTGCCGTGGCGGGACCGGCTCGCAGCGCACCGGGCGAGCAATCCAGAGGTGGCCAGTCCGAGTCCACCTCCTGGCGCGACAATGGAGTCACGTTTGTGAAACCTCCCGCAACCTCCCACGGTCTCTGTCCACCCAACGGTGCACCACGTTGAGCCGATTAGCGGGCAGGTCGCGTGTGGCGCGGTAAACTGTGGGTACGCACACCTCTCCCAAGACGTCTGCCCAGTGTGGAAGAGTAGACCAAAGACCCTGGAGAGGCCCTCCCGCCAGCAGCAACCAGCGTGAGCGGGTAATTGCAGCGCTGCTTCGGCACGGAGAGCGTGGAACGACCGCCAACCACCACAGCGGGAATGTGGATTTGTCTGCGCCACTGTCTCGGAGGCGCCCGTAACGCACCGCGCGCGATCTCCAACTCTCCCTCCAGACGAGCGAGCCAGGGGTCGCAGGAGTCACGGGGCCTCGCGCCTGGCTCAAAACATCGGCGCTGCCTAGCCACAGTCGTGGGTGGCTCTGTGAGCCACAGGCGTGGGTGGCACGGCGGAGGGCTCGTGGCCGCACGAGCAATCCAGAGGTCGCCACCTCCGATGGGCACGGTTGGTTCACGTACGGTGCGAAAGAAGTGCAACATACGCACTCCGTACGTGGCCACGCGCGCTCCACAGACGCGTGGCCGCGCGGTACTCATGGGGAGAGCCACGCTCCGAAATCAAATCTCAGGGCATCTGGAGTCAATTCCCAACTCGTGGTGGACGTCTGCGAGTCACATCGAGTGTGTGCGCGTGCGAGCGAGTGTGTGTGTGTGTGTGTGCGCGTGCATGTGCGTGTGGGTGTGAGCGCGTGCGTGCAGTAGGGGAGCGGTCGTGTAGCGGTTCGCACGCTGCGCTATGAACCCGGTGACCCGCGTTCAATTCCCTCTAACGGCCAACACCAGTACTCAAATGAGTACGCGGTGCGGTGTGTAGTAAAACATCGTCACTGGGAATACAAAGGCGGCCGGGCGTGGTGCTGGCCATCCACCACCTCGTGTGCCGTGCCAGCCTTCATAGGTGCTACTCGCTAACAGCACTTGCCCCGACAGTCTGTCAAGGCTACACGGGGGATCTTTGTCTTTGTGCGTCTCTCTGTGACTGTTAGCGAGCCCCCTCGGATTCCGCGGTCGTGGAGGGGGTAGAGGGGTCACGCGGTCACGCACACCACGTCAGTTAAGGCTGAGTCGACCTAGAGGAGACCCAGCACAGCCTCAGATAACCCTTGTCCACGGTAGGTGCGGACCTTGGTGGTCTCAAACAATAGGTGATCTCTAACAATAGGTGGTCTTAAACAATAGGTGATCTCTAACAATAGGTGATCGCTAACGATAGGTGATCTCTAACAATAGGTGATCTCTAACAATAGGTGATCTCTAATAATAGGTGATTGCAAACAATAGGTGATCTCTAACAATAGGTGATCTCTAACAATAGGTGATCACAAACAATAGGCGATCTCTAACAATAGGTAATCGCTAATAATAGGTGATCTCTAACAGCAGGTGATATTTAACGATAAGTACTACAATAAATAAGCAGAAAAAACACTTTCAAATATCTGTCCACCCTCCTCTCCCCCCCCCCCCCCACATTAACAAAGCGTTAAGTAAGTTTGACACATCCCATCAGCATGTTTTCCTGGCTAAGTTTCAGTCGATAATTATTGCACGTAGAAGCGACGTGAATGGGACAGAGAATGCATTTCGATTTCTCACTCTCGTGGCGGCGAGCGAGAGAGCGAGGCGGGGATGGAGCCGCTTGGCTCATCTCAGATGGAGGGGGCTCAGGCAACGACCGTCACAGAGATTCACCGCTAAGCAGGGGACACGAGCTGGGTAGGGGGGCCAATGGGACGTTTGGTGGTGCAGGGCCGAGCACACCTCGAGCGCCGGCCCTGATGGGAGCTCCATTTCTCGACGAGAGGGCTTCGGGAGAGAGTTGACGTGGCGTGGGTCTGCATGTTTGTGTGTTGAACTTCGTCTGCACCGTACGTAGCCAAGCCTTACGAAACGTAGGTGCGGGGGGAGGACGACAAACTAAACAAAAACAGTTCTAAAGAAATTAGTTGGTCAATCTGGATGATGGTTTGAAAGTGCCTTAGCTCCAGTGGCTTCCTTATATCGGAAGGGAAGAGCGTTCCAGACGGCCGCAGAAGCGCATCTGAAAGCGCCGCGCGAAGCGGCGATAGCCGCCTCTGGCCAACCAGAAACAGCTGCAGCTGCTGCAAGGATGGCCACCGGGCGGTAGGGGGGGGGGTTGCGATCTGGGTGACAAAATTGGGGGAGGGGGGGTGTGATCTGGGTGACAAATCTGGGTGGGGGGGGGTGCGATCTGGGTGATAAATCTGGGTGGGGGGGGGGGGTGCGATCCAGGTGATAAATCAGCTCCGCTCCATCATCGAGCCCCTGCGGTGTAGAATTTAACCGCGGTGGGATTCGTGGAGATCGTGATGGTGTCGTGGGGTTATGGAAACTGTTAAACATAGTTTAGGTTATTTTGCTACTATAAATTTCCACACGATGAGCCAACTTCGTTGCGCTATCATTTGTTGCCTTGTAAGATGAAGAGAATAGTTTCGTTTTATTTGCATATAATTAAAGTGATTTGTTTACAATGTCCAATACTTTGCGCTGCTATTGTGTCTGCGTACTGTTCGTTGTTGTAACGTTCTGACCCGCCCCTTCTAAATAGTTGTGAAAAAGAGCTTCATAGATCATCGGATTCCTCCAGGAGTAAATAAATATCCTAATTCTGAGCCTCGTACCCTTTGGGTGTCATGAAGCAGCACGAGCTGATCGATGTTTTTCAGCGAATCGCGACGTCCCTCGGAGCATCGGGGGATGGGGGGGGGGTCCGATGGCAGTGACAGCGGCAGGAGTCGTCCTACGGGGGGCGATCCTCAGCGTCGATGCAAATCCCCAGACGTCGTGGCGGACAGGGACGATGCTCCGCCTGACCATTACATCTCTCCCCCCCTCCCCCCCGTTCCCGCAGCATGCCTCTTCCGCTACAACGGACTCTCCCTCGTCTACCTCGTCTTCCTCCTCCTCATCCCGCTCTTCGCCGAGCCAACCAAGGAGACCGTGAGAGGTGAGGCCTCCACGAGACGGCGAGGCGTGCGCGTGTGGTGGCGGTGACGTGTGGTGGCGGTGACGTGTGGTGGCGGTGACGTGTGGTGGCGGTGACGTGTGGTGGCGGTGACGTGTGGTGGCGGTGACGTGTGGTGGCGGTGACGTGTGGTGGCGGTGGCGTGTGGTGGCGGTGACGTGTGGTGGCGGTGGCGTGTGGTGGCGGTTGCGTGTGGTGGCGGTGACGTGTGGTGGCGGTGGCGTGTGGTGGCGGTGACGTGTGGTGGCGGTGACGTGTGGTGGCGGTGACGTGTGGTGGCGGTGACGTGTGGTGGCGGTTGCGTGTGGTGGCGGTGACGTGTGGTGGCGGTGGCGTGTGGTGGCGGTGGCGGTGGCGTGCGGTGGCGGTGACGTGCGGTGGTGGTGACGTGCGGTGGCGGTGACGAGCGTGACGGATGCCACCGTGGGAAGTGGCGACGCAGTTAAAGCCGCTGGGCGCTTCCATGCTGATTGACCTGGGTCGTCCGCTTCTTGGTGATGCGGTCGACGAGTGGTGTCAGGTGGCTCTGTCCTGGACACCGCCGAGGTCATTGTGGCCTTCACCGAGCGAGTCCCTGTCGGGGTGTGCAAGCGTCACCCCCCTGGCCCACGTGCTGTGTGGAGCGGAATGGGCCACAACGTGTCACGCCTCGCCCCCTCAGGGTAGCCCGGCGCCCGTGGGTCCCCTGTGGCCCATGGGGTCCGGTGCAGTTGCACCGCCTGCACACCGCGTAGCTCCACCCGCAAGAGCATCCGTGCCTTGTCACTTACCCACCTCGCCCCACCTCAGACAAAGATCCCCCGTGTAGCCTTAACAGACTGTTGGGGCAAGTGCTGTTAGCGAGTAGCACCTATGAAGGCCGGCACGGCACACGAGGGGGTGGGTGACTAGCACTACACCCGGCCGCCTTTGTCTCTCCATTTGATGCTGAATCGACCTAGGAAAGGCACATGACCGTTTCAGATAATCGTCATTGGTGTTGGCCGTGAGCCGGAATCGAACCAGCGTGGCCGGGTTCGTAGTGCAGCGTAGCTCTCACCCCCACACTGGCGCTGACCCCACCTCACCCACCCCACCGTGCAGCCGCTCTGTGTGTGGCGCGCGTGTGTGGGATGTCGCAGCTTCTTGCTTCTGTGAGATTAATCATTGTCAACATCACCAACGTCACGGCGATGCTGATGATGATGATAATGATGATGACTAAGCAGTGCACCACCTTGTGTGAACATGAACAGCTCCGGACGATGTTGGCCCGCACGGCGTTCACCACACGGCACTCAAACCACCGCTGTCCATTCTCACAGCTGCTTTGCGTCACATTGAGTGAAGATCCGAAATGTGCTCGTGTGTGGCTGGGCTGAGATGCAACTCGTTACAACTGAGAACGAGAATGGTTCAACCCCAATGCCTCTGCCTGGCGTTCTCTGATCCGCGGCTGCCTCTCCGTGTGTCTCGGTGTCATTATGAACGTGCACCTCTCCTATGCCACGTTTGCACTTTGCGGATTTTATTCAACATTTTATTTGAGTACTGTCCACGTGTCCGGTCCATCGCACCTCCAATGAGCACGGTTGGCTACGCACGGTGCGACAGAATTTCAACATACGGCACATCGGTGATTGTCAGCAGTGTTGAACTGAATGCATTGGTCAGACATGTGACAGTAAAATCATTACAAGGAGTGGGATTCTTTCCTTACAACGTTACACGCAACCCCGTTTTCAATCGATGTAACATCGGTCTCCGGAGCCAATAGGCCAAAGGGATCAAACGCATTCGCGTTCAAATGCGTGGAGAGACAGGGAACTGAGTTGCGGGTTTATTTTGCCTTGACTGTGGCCGAGGAGTCTCCGTTAGCCCACCCGGGTGTAAGAGGGGGCACAGGCGAGCGAGTTGATGACAAACAAGAAGATGTTTTACCCTTTTCTGGCAATAATAGAGGAGTTGAGATGTTTAAACGCCATGTAGACGAAACCTTTTGCAAGGCACCAAGAATGCATTCACCACGCGGACTCGTGGCAAAACACGCAAACAACGACGCACACGGGAGAGCGATGAGGGCACGGAGCGATGCAGAGAGGAGCCGGGAGTTTGGGCCGCGTAAACGGATAAAGCAGAGACGGCTGGGCTGGGAGATGGACGGCGGTGCGAGGGTGGAGGCGGCGCGGTAACCGAATGAGGCCGAGCAAACCGCGTTCCCGAAGTGCGCGGGTCAATTAATCCACGCCGCGTCTCTCCACCCCAGCTCCACAATTGTGTTGTGCTGAAGCAGGCCATCAATACCACGCAACTCAATTCGGCCTTCTCCGTTATTTAATTGAACCCCCGTGACGCTCCGTTGAGATTAACGGAGGAGCCGGACTGGCGTGCGAGTGAATGCTCTCTGTTTGATTTGGGGGGGGGGGGGGGCTGAGATTCTGGGGAAGCCGTACCGGCGATGGGGGGGGGGAATCACCAACGGCGATGCGCTCCCACGACTTACTTTGGGTCATAATGTGAATCTGACCCACTCAATTGCCCTTTTGGGAGGCCGTGCTGTTTGTTTCTGGCTCCAAGATGTTTTGGGTCTCTGGACCTGTGCTCAGCAACTGCTTACAAAACACACACACAAAGTCTCATGCCCAGAGGGTCTTGGCGAAGAGTTATACGTTGCGTTTAATTTGGGGTCGAGTGGGTCATGAGTTCTAGCTTTCGGACTAGGGAGGCCTTCATCCAGCAGTGGATTGATCATTGCTGATGAATATGATATCCAACAAATATTCAACTACCTGCCAAATGCGCCTGGGAATTCTCGAATGCACGGGCAGATGACCTCCATTTGCAGTGTCTCTTGGAATGCCCCACTCAGCAGCACCAGGAGGCTGATGAGTATTTGTTGTTGTTGTTGTTATAATCATCTGTTGGTGAGATATGACGAGAGGGCCGCGATCACTCGTATGAATGGTCGCAGCGTCAACGGCTGAGTGCTTTGGTCAAGTCTCTGGCAGGGCCGGTGAAGTCACGGTGGCTATGAGATATTAATTACCACGCCTGGCATACAGGAAGTCGTGGGTTCGATCCCGACCCCTGTATATTTGGAGTTTGCATGTCGCTCTTCCTATGGTCGCGTGGACTTTTCTCCGGGTCCTCCGGGTTTTACCTCCACATTTAGAAAAATGCGTTTAGAGTGTTTGACAGCTATACATTTCCACGTGATTAGGCACTTCATTGAGCTCTCATTTGTGGCCAGGTCCCTTCTGAAAAAGAACTACATAGCTCACCTGGTAAAATAAAATTAAATTTTGATTTAAAGCTTTCGTGACTGCAGTAATTCATATTCTTAGTTTTTTCGGTAAAGTCACGTTGAAGAGAAACAACAAAATAATAATATATATAAAACAATTCAAAAAGAAATAATAATAAATAAATAAATATATGGGTGATGGGCAAAAAGTAAAAAAAAATATATTTTATTATTTTGTTGTTTCTCTTCAACGTGACTTTACCGAAAAAACTAAGCTTAAAAATAAAATTTGTTTAGTTTTTAAAATAAAATAGTTTAGTTTAGACTTTCGTGGGTACATTTTTTTGTTATTATCAGTTAGGGTCAACTTGGCACATCATCCCTTTGATGTCATCAATAAAATTAGCAACAAATTTTTGAGGCAGTAGTCATCCCATTGCTAGACTGGCTTCCACCATAGGAATGTGGAATTGGCAGAACCGACTCAGAGCCTCTGACGGAATGCAGCGCTGCCCCAGGCACGCGTGGACCAGGGAGATACGCAGGGAGATACGCAGGGAGACAAGCAGGGAGACACGCAGGGAGACATGCAGGGAGACGCTAGGACAGGGAAACACGCTAGGGCAAGGAGACACGCAGGGAGATACGCAGAGAGACATGCAGGGAGACACGCTCGAGTAGGGAGACACACAGAGAGACATGCAGGGAGACACGCAGGGAGACACGCAGGGAGACACGCTCGGGCAGGGAGACACGCAGGGAGACATGCAGGGAGACGCTAGGGCAGGGAAACACGCTAGGGCAAGGAGACACGCAGGGAGACACGCTAGGGCAAGGAGACACGCAGGGAGACACGCTAGGGCAGGGAGACACGCAAGAGCAGGGAGACACGCAGGGAGACATGCAGGGAGACACGCTCGAGGCCCTGGCAGGGCTGGTGAAGCCACGGTGGCTATGAGATGTTGACTACCACGTCTGGTATACAGGAGGTGGTGGTATTCTTGGTTCTTTCGGTAAAGTCACGTAGAAGGGAAACAATAAAATAATAAAAATATGAAACAATACAGTTCTCACGACGTTTCGACTGCAACACAAGCAATCATCATCAGGTGTGAAAAACACAACAAGAAAATTTTCTTGATGATGATTGCTTGTGTTGCAGTCGAAACGTGGTGAGAATTTTATTGTTTTATATTTTTATTATTTTATTTTATTGTTTCCCTTCTACGTGACTTTACCGAAAGAACCAAGAAAATGAATCCCTGCAGTCACGAAAGCTTTAAATCAGCAGGTGGTGGGTTCGATCCCGATCCCTGTATATTTGGAGTTTGCATGTTCTCACTCCCCCGGTGGTTGCGTGGATTTTTGTCCGGGTCCTCCCTGCTTTTCCCCTCCACATTTGGAATCGACATGCGTTTAGAGTATTTGGCTGCTATAAATGTCCACGTGATACGCCACTTTGTTGAGCTATGAGTTGTGTGGCCAAGTCACTACATAGCTCAGTGGGCCTTACCTGGTAAAATAAAATAAATATTTCGTTTAGAAGCCACGCAGCGATTTGTGCGAGAGGTCAGTCACAGCACCGGAGCAATTCGAGAGGCAGAGATGCCATACAAAGCCTTGCCGATCCATTCTGTCATTACTTAACACAAACCCATCGTTTGGCGACGTGGTAGTCAACACGAGCAACAACAAATATAAGCAGACAATCCGCAAACATAATTTCGAAATAGATGTTCGGGTTAGGCTACGTATTGAGCTAACTACGTTTGTTGTCGAGACCCTCCGCCACACCACACAGCAAAACAAATTCATTGTCGTGATATTCAATTGTATACAGCAAAGTGCTGTTGTGTAGCGGTTGCAATCGGGGGTGTCGTATAATTTTTGCAGCCAGATTGCACCACAGATGTGGGGAGCGGTGGTGCAGCGGTTAGCGCGCTGCGCTACGAACCCGGTAACCCGGGTTCAAATCCCGCTCACGGCCACCAACAGCAGTGACGATCATTTGAACAGGTCCTGGGCGTCCCCTAGGTCACCTCGGTCAACATCGCCACTGGGGAGACAAAGGTGGTCAAGTTGGAGTATTGGCCACCCACCGCCTCGTGTGCCGTGCCGACCTTCATAGGTGCTCGCTAACAGCACTTGTCCCAAAAGTCCGTCAAAGCTATACGGGGGATCTTTGTCTTTGTAGAACGTTATTGACACCGGGCACATGTCTGGGGTGCGTCTTGTAATCCAGAGAATACGGTTGCCTAGAAGATTATATTACGTTAGGGACATCAGAATGAGAGCGATGGGGTGTTATGAGTGTTGTTATCCAATGAGTGATGTTCTGGAAGAAAGCATTGCGATGATGATGGAAAGTATGTAGAATTGTAGGAGATATGTTTACAAGGAGACACTTTTAAAGATTCTATATCAAACAACGTAACGTACAGCGAGGGACATGATGGTACATGCATTGTTATACAGAGAGAGATGTGCTTCAGAATAGCAGAGACGTTATGCATAGCGAGATTAACGCATCGGATAGAGAATTTCAGGAGTTAGACACTCGAGAGATTAAAGAATTACAGAAATATGACAGTTTAAGAATCATACTATATTAATATGGTTTGCAACTTATAATAATAATGCATTTATCCTGAAAAGATTTTCAAAGTTCCCAAGAATGTGTTTTTCCAGGAGGGATCTTTACTGGGATGTTGCAGCAGATCCCCAGCTGAGTGCTCCGTGTGTGTGGGAGGATGCCGAGTGGAATATCCCTTGCACACCAAGGGTTAGAGACATTCCACACGGACCTGGACCCGGCTCGCCGTGCTGCTGCCAGCTTCTACTGGCTGCCGCACGGCTCTCGCTACGCCGATAGCATCCAAGAGTCCGCGTGAGACGTCGCCGCTCCCCCTGAAGCGGTGGATCGGAGACGCCAGGCAAGGTTTCTGGAGGCTCCATTTCGCCAGGACGCGCCCCGCTCCGGAGAAATGTGGAATGCGCCGGATTGGCTGACGTGCGGACACGAGGCGCTGCTCACAGTGTGGCACGGAGAGCCCACCGCGTGTTTGCATTGCGGTGGCGACGATGGTCACCTCCGTGTGTGGCATCGTCTCATACTGCCGCTCGTCGACGCGACCATACGGCGATTATAATTAGTGTTTAGTACAGGGCAAGGTGATCACGAAGGCGTTGCGGCAGTTTAAAGGGAGGGGGCTGACGTCGCGATGCGTGATCCCGTTTGGATAATTTGCAGGTGAACGTTCAATTTTGGCAAAAGTGGACCATGAGGCCAGCACTCGATGGCCTCCTCTTTTCGAAGGGTGTCGCGGCATCTGAAACATCCACCCCGGAGCGGACGGCGCGCGTGCCCCCGTACTCTACGGGTTTCTAACGCACCCCGCGGCGTTAAACCGGGGCGGCCTTTCCCGGGTTGGAACCGCGAATCTCTGCAACGAGCGGCGGCGGCGGCGGCAGCGGCGGCGGGACCGCCGCTGCTGCCCTCGCGCCTCGGAGACGAGGATGCAGATTTGTGGCGAGGGATTTTTTAACGATGGGGGGGGGGAGGTGACTGGGGCGGCCCTGGACTTTAGCACCGGTCTCATTTGCGCTGTGCCGCCACTTCCGAGCGCAACCTTGAGTGAGGAAATCTCTCTCGCCCGCTCGCCCGCCCGCTCGGCCTGGCGGGCTCCCACTCGCTCGGGAAGTGCGATAAGCACCGTCGATAATCCGCATGAAATATTTAAGAGCCCGCGCTGGTGGTGGGGGTCAGGGCGAGCAGGGGGGGGGGGGGGTTGAGCGCCACGCGAGATTTAATTTCCGTGAGAATCGCGGTGGCGCCCTGCGCCAGTGCCGCCACCCCTTCGTCGTCCCACGACAACGGCGGCTTCCGCGACGATGCCGCGGACAATGTCGCGCTCCCAGAAGGCCGTGTGGTTGATGGGAAGCGGAGCAAAGGAATTGCTTTTTTGTTTGTTATCTGGAGGGATAGCCGTGGAGGAGACGTATTGTCTGCTTGTTTGGTTTGTCACGATGCCTGAAGAGGGAAGGGCTTCGGCTGGTTACGCAACAGGCACGAGGTCGGGGCCCTTGAGACGTCTGTGCGATCCACCAACCCCTGAGGCGAGCTGCTGCACAGCGAGCAGGATCAGCCTGGGGCCCCCCACGGCTCTGCACCCTCCCTGGGCCCCCCACGGCTCTACACCCTCCCTGGGGCCCCCCACGGCTCTACACCCTCCCTGGGGCCCCCTACGGCTCTACACCCTCGCTGGGGCCCCCCAGGGCTCTACACCCTCCCTGGGCCCCCCAGGGCTCTACACCCTCCCTCTGCACTCTTGCACCCCCCGTGGCGATGGCCATCACGCGTCGCTGTGCATGGTGGACACTGCACGCGGTGATCACCGCATGCATGCGCACCACGTGGTGCGGTGCTCACCACGTGGTGCGGTGCTCACCACGTGGTGCGGTGCTCACCACGTGGTGCGGTGCTCACCACGTGGTGCGGTGCTCACCACGTGGTGCGGTGCTCACCACGTGGTGCGGTGCTCACCACGTGGTGCGGTGCTCACCACGTGGTGCGGTGCTCACCACGTGGTGCGGTGCTCACCACGTGGTGCGGTGCTCACCACGTGGTGCGGTGCTCACCACGTGGTGCGGTGCTCACCACGTGGTGAGCACGCGTGCTCGTTCCTCATTCCCACTTGTTACAGACGTACCTTTATTTATATGCCCGCCTGCAATATTCACGCGGGTGTGCGATGTTTTCCGCTCGACTGGGCGGCTTGCGCATGGAAGGTTGTCCGTCCCAAGCAGTGACCTGTATCCCTGTTTATCCTGCCGTGATAAATAATTGGATCATGTTCTAAGACCTTTCAATCAAATCTGCAGATATGACTCGAACAGCAACAACAACAAGCAACGACGTTGCTCAACCGCGAAGGCTGATGACGAAGCGCGGCCCCGCAACCTCCACGACAAACATCCAGCAGTGGATCGACAGGGAGATTGTAAACGATCGCTATATTTATCATACAGGGTGATCCATTTACAGACACCCTATATAATATATATTTACCAGGTATGGCTCACTGAGCTCTATATTTCAGAAGCGTCCTGGCCACTAATGATAGGTCAACGAAGTGGCTTATTGCGTGGAAATTTATAGCAGACTATAACTCTAAATGCGTGATGTTGATTCTAAATGTGGAGGGAAAACCCAGAGGACTCGGAGGAAAAACCCACGTGACAACGGGGAGAGAGACACCGCAAACTCCAAATACACAGCAGCAGCAGCAGGTGTCAGGGTTGAGATGGAACCCACCACCTCCTGTAGACCAGGCAAGGTAGTTGACATCTTCGAGCCAACATGATGATGGAGAGACACAGCAAACTCCAAATATACAGCAGCAGTAGCAGGCGTCAGGGTTGAGATGGAACCCACCACCTCCTGTAGACCAGGCGAGGTAGTTGACATCTTCTAGCCAACATGATGATGGAGAGACACCGCAAACTCCAAATACAGCAGCAGCAGCAGGCGTCAGGGTTGAGATGGAACCCACGACCTCCTGTAGACCAGGCGAGGTAGTTAACATCTTCTAGCCAACGTGATGATGGAGAGACACCGCAAACTCCAAATACAGCAGCAGCAGCAGCAGGCGTCAGGGTTGAGATGGAACCCACGACCTCCTGTAGACCAGGCGAGGTAGTTGACATATTCGAGCCAACATGATGATGGAGAGACACCGCAAACTCCAAATATACAGCAGCAGTAGCAGGCGTCAGGGTTGAGATGGAACCCACCCCACCTCCTGTACACCAGGCGAGGGAGTTGACATCTTCTAGCCAACGTGATGATGGAGAGACACCGCAAACTCTAAATATACAGCAGCAGTAGCAGGCGGCAGGGTTGAGATGGAACCCACGACCTCCTGTATACCAGGCGAGGTAGTTAAAATCTTCTAGCCAACGTGATGATGGAGAGATACCGCAAACTCCAAATTCAGCAGCAGCAGTAGCAGGCGTCAGGGTTGAGATGGAACCCACCACCTCCTGTAGACCAGGCGAGGGAGTTGACATCTTCTTGCCAACGTGATGATGGAGAGACACAGCAAACTCTAAATATACAGCAGCAGCAGGCGTCAGGGTTGAGATGGAACCCACCACCTCCTGTACACCAGGCGAGGTAGTTGACATCTTCTAGCCAACATGATGATGGAGAGACACCGCAAATTCTAAATATACAGCAGCAGCAGGCGTCAGGGTTGAGATGGAACCCACGACCTCCTGTACACCAGGCGAGGGAGGGAACCAGCGGCGTCAAGAGCAGTGCCAACGGCGCCGTTCTGCTCGCCACGAGGTTGCCAGCGCTGGAATGTCACTGCGGTGCTCCCAGGGCAGACGTTTCGGGAGACGTTCACACGGCAGGGCACATTTCACATCCTTCATTTAACCAAGTAACAGCCACTTGAGATTGTCTCCTTTTGCAAGGGGGAGCAGTGGGCATTGTAATTGGGTTTTGCACGAGTCACACCTTCTCACATTCTCGTAATTAAGGGCCCAATATTTCATGGACTCATTCTTTTATCATCAGTGGCGTCACGAGCGTGGGGGCCCCTTGATAACCACAACGCGATATGTTTTCACCAACAGTGTAAAATAACAACAACAATCATTAAAAAGCGGTTTATATTACATATTATGATAATGATTTCATTTACGTTCCACGTTTTATTTGAATGTAATTAGGGTAGTTGTGTAGTGTTGCAAAGAGGCACTACGGAGGTGTAGTGGCTGCATTGTGCGAAGACAGACTTAAATGTCCGAGACCGTGAGCGTAATGACGACGACGTGGTTAGACAAGAGTAGAACAGCCTGAAGATGCGGCCAGGCGAGACAAATCACGTGACCAATTATACCGCTTATAATGCAGTTACTACACCACTGATAATGTAGTTACTACACCATTGATAATGTAGTTACTACACCACTGATAAAGTAGTTACAACACCGCTTATAATGCAGTTACTACACCACTGATAATGTAGTTACTACACCACTGATAATGTAGTTACTACACCACTGATAATGTAGTTACTACACCACTGATAATGTAGTTACTACAACACTGATAATGTAGTTACTACACCACTGATAATGTAGTTACTACACCACTGATAATGTAGTTACTACAACACTGATAATGTAGTTACTACACCACTGATAATGTAGTTACTACACCACTGATAATGTAGCTACTACACCACTGAAAATGTAGTTACTACAACACTGATAATGTAGTTACTACACCACTGATAATGTAGTTACTACACCACTGATAATGTAGTTACTACACCACTGATAATGTAGTTACTACAACACTGATAATGTAGTTACTACACCACTGATAATGTAGTTACTACACCACTGATAATGTAGTTACTACACCACTGATAATGTAGTTACTACACCACTGATAATGTAGTTACTACAACACTGATAATGTAGTTACTACACCACTGATAATGTAGTTACTACACCACTGATAATGTAGTTACTACACCACTGATAATGTAGTTACTACACCACTGATAATGTAGTTGCTACACCACTAATAATGTAGTTACGACACCACTGATAATGATGTTACTATGCCACTGATAATGTAGTTGCTACACCACTGACAATGTAGTTACTACACCACTGGTAATGTAGTTACTATGCCACTGAAAATGTACATACTACGCCACTGATAATGTAGTTACTACGCCACTGATAATGTAGTTGCTATGCCACTGATAATGTAGTTGCTACACCACTGATAATGTAGTTTACTACACCACTGACAATGTAGTTAATACACCACTGATAATGTAGTTACTATGCCACTGATAATGTAGTTGCTACACCACTGATAATGTAGTTTACTACACCACTGATAATGTAGTTTACTACACCACTGATAATGTCGTTACTCCACCACTGATAATGTCGTTACTACACCACTGATAATGTAGTTACTACACCACTGATAATGTAGTTACTACACAACTGATAATGTAGTTTACTACAACACTGATAATGTAGTTTACTATACCACTGATAATGTAGTTACTACACCACTGATGATGTAGATTACTACGCCACTGATAATGTAATTACTATGCCACTGATAATGTAGTTGTTACGCCACTGATAATGTAGTTTTCTACAGCACTGATAATGTAGTTACTACACCACTGATAATGTAGTTACTATGACACTGATAATGTAGTTGCTACACCACTGATAATGTAGTTTACTACACCACTGATAATGTAGTTTACTACACCACTGATAATGTAGTTCACTAAACCACTGATAATGTAGTTTTCTACACCACTGATAATATCGTTTACTACAACACTGATAATGTAGATTACTACGCCACTGATAATGTAGTTACTACGCCACTGATAATGTAGTTACTACATCACAGAAAAAGTAGTTACTACACGACTGATAATGTAGTTACTACAGCACTGATAATGTAGTTACTACACCACTGATAATGTAGTTACTACACCACTGAAAATGTAGTTACTACACCACTGATAATACAGTTACTACACCACTGATAATGTCGTTACTACACCACTGATAATGTAGTTACTACACCACTGATAATGTAGTTGCTACACCACTAATAATGTAGTTACGACACCACTGATAATGTAGTTACTATGCCACTGATAATGTAGTTGCTACACCACTGATAATGTTGTTTACTACACCACTGATAATGCAGTTTACTACACCACTGATAATGTAGTTACTACACCACTGATAATGTAGTTACTATGCCACTGGTAATGTAGTTGCTACACCACTGACAATGTAGTTACTACACCACTGGTAATGTAGTTACTATGCCACTGATAATGTACTTATTACGG